CTGCTGCTGCTGATGCTGCTGCTGCTGCTGATGCTGCTGCTGCTGCTGATGCTGCTGCTGCTGCTGTTCTAGGCGCTGCTCCAGGTGCTGCCTTTTTGCTGCTGCTTCGGAGACGTTGCTGCTGCACCCGAAATACCCGTGAAGCGCAATTGCGTTTCTCTCACTCCTCACGCGCGATGTTGTGCTGCTGCTGCTGCTGCTGCTGTTGTTGTTGCTGCTGCTGCTGCTGCTGCTGCAGGGAAGACACGCTGCGAGATGAGTTTACGTTTATGCATGATGTTTTAGCGCTGCGGCTGGCGTTTCCTGATGGGCTTAGCGGTGCAGCAGCAAACGCACCGCTGTGCCCCTCCTGCAGCAGCATCGGCGCAGCAGCAGCACAGCAGCATCAGCATCAGCAGCAGCAGCAGCAGCAGGCAGGCGGCAGCAAAGCCAGCAGCATAAGCTGTGAAGCAGAAGGACCCTCACAAACAAAACCAACTACATCAGCAGAAGCAAAGGTGCTGCTGCTGCAGGTAGCAAAGGAAGTATTTGCTGAAGAAGTGCGGCGCCGGCGCCGCAGCAGCAACAGCAGCAGCAGCAGCAGAAGCAGAAGCAACGCTGCAGCAGCAGAGAATGAAAGGGTTCAAGGTTAGCAACATAATGCCGTTGCTGCTGCTGCACGTTGCAGCAGCAAAGACAGTAGATGCTACACGCCGCCTTCTAGCAGCAGCAGCAGCACAAACAGCAGCAGGTGCAGTAGCAGCACAAACAGCAGCAGATGCAGCAGCAGCAGTGATAGCAGCACTAGTAGTAATAGAAGAATTTTGTCTATCGTTTGCTGCAGCTTCAGGTGTCTGCACACCCCAGTGCATGCGTTTGCTGCTTCTGCTGCAGACAGCCGCAGCAGCCGCAGCAGCTGCGACCGCTACAGCAAAGCTGCTGCTGTCCTTGTAGGCGCCTATGGAGACAGCAGCAGCACCCCTTTCTAATACAACAGCAGCAGCAGCAACAGCAACTGCAGCAGCTGCAGCAGCTGCAGCAGCAGCACCACCACGCCTTGCTGATGCAGGTGAAGCAGCAATAGCAACAGCAATAGCTGCACACCCCCACGCCTTTCTAGAGCAGCAGCAGCAGCAGCACCAATAGCAGCACCACGCCGTTCTAAAGCAGCAGCAGCAACAGCAGCACCACGCCGTTCTAAGGCAGCTGCAGCAACAGCAGCAGCAGCAGCAGTAGCAGCAGCGGCGGCATCAACTGCAGCAGCAACACCAGATGCTGCATATATACGCAGCAGCAGCAGCAGCAAGGGGGATGAGGAGAGCAGCAAGGGGGGCTCATGGGCGGCCCTAGGGCGTCAGCAGGCACACTGCAGCAGCAGCAGCAGTAGAAAAAATAGCAGCAGCAGCAGCAGCAGCAACAGCAGCAACATCAACAACAGCAGCAGCAGTGCATGCGCATGCATTGATTTGGAAGGCCCATACAAATTCTTTAAGAGACCCGTAGAAATCCTTTAAGAAAATAAGCTGCTGCAGCACCCCAGGTAGGGACGGTGCAGCAGCAGCAGCAGCAGCAGCAGCACAAGTTGCTGCTCTGCTGCGTCTGCTTTGCTGCAGCGGCAGCAGCCAGCAGCAGCATAAGTTGATGCTCTGCTGCAGCAGCAGCAGCAGCAGAAGTGTCTGCTTTGCTGCAGCAAAGCAGACTCCAAACAAGTATAACAGACTTTACGCAAAGTGAAGCAGACATGTCTATTACAGCAGCAGCAGCAGAAATATCTGCTTTGCTGCATCAGCAGCAGCAGCTGCAGCACCTGCAGCACCTGCATCAGCAGCAGCAGCTGCACCAGCTGCAGCAGCTGCATCAGCAGCAGCAGCAGGTTGTTTTGAGTTTATCGGAAGTCTCTGTTATATTTGGACATCATAAAGCGGATGGCGTCCATCGTCGCGACTTCCTAAGCAGCAAACACATGCACATACACAAACCCTTGCTGCTGCTGCTGCTGCTGCTGCTCATGTTGCTGCTGCTCATGCTGCTGCTGGTACTTCTGCTGGTGCTGCTGCTGCTACTTCTGCTGGTGCTGCTGCTCATGCTGCTGCTGCTACTTCTGCTAATGCTGCTGCTCATGCTGCTGCTGCTACTACTACTACTGCTGCTGCTGCTGCTGCTCATGCTGCTGCTGCTAATGTCGCTGCTGCTAACGCCGTTGCTGCTGCTGCTAATGTTGCTGCTGCTGCTAACTCTGCAAATGCCTCTGCTGCTGATCCATATGCTAATTATGTTGGTGCTGGTGTGAATGATATTCTTGTGCTGCTGCTGCTACTAATGTTGTTGCTGCTGCTGCTGCAGTTGCTGCTGCTCCTACTACTACTGAAATTCAAAACTGCTGCTGCTGCTGCTACTGCTGCTGCTGCTGCTACTGCTGCTGCTGCTGCAGTTGCTGCTGCTCCTACTACTACTGACATTCAAAACTGCTGCTGCTGCTGCTGCTACTGCTGCTGCTGCTACTGCTGCTGCTGCTGCTGCTGCTTACTTTGGCGTAGTTATATGTTTTTTCGAGTGCTTTTTCTTTGGGGGTGTCTTTGGGCCCGGTCGGTGCGGTGTCAGGGTCTTGCTGCTGCTGCTGCTGCTGCTGCTGCTGCTGCTGTTTGCTGCGGAGGTACTCCACAGAGCCTCTGCTGTTGTCTACACCAATCAGAGAATCATCAGGCCAAGGCATCACATGCCCGCTTCGACGCGACACACGCACTGCAGCAGCAGCAGCAGCAGCAGAAGCAGCAGCAGCAAGAGTAGCAGCAGCACAAGTAGCAGCAGCAGAAGCAGCAAGAGTAGCAGCAGCAAGAGTAGCAGCAGCAAGAGTAGCAGCAGGGAGAGTAGCAGCAGGGAGAGTAGCAGCAGCAAGAGAAGCAACAGCAACAACAACACCACAAGCAGCAGCAGCAAAAGCAGCAGCAGCAACAGCAAGAGAAGCAGCAAATGAAACTGGCACCCACAGAGAGCTGCTCCAGCGTTTGCTGCTGCAGCGTCGCTTACTGCAGCAGCAGAAGCAGCAGCAAGAAAGCAACAACACCAACAGAAACCATCGCAGCAGCAGCAGCAGCATCATCAACAGCAGCAACAGAATCAGCAGCAACAGCAACAAACAGCAACAACAACAAGGTCAGCAACATCAGCGGCAGCAGCAGCAACAGCAGCAGCAGCAACAGCAGCAGCAGCAGCAACAGCAGCAGCAGCAGCAGCAGCAAATATTTACCAGGCATTCCTTTTTCGTTTGTTCTGAGGGCAAGGCGGGTGGGCTGTCTGCATTCAAATTGCGGTGTACAGGCAGCTGACCCTCAATTAATATTTTTGTTTATTATTATTTTTATTAAACTCAGTGCTGTTATGCTTATCCTTATTATTTGTTTTATTATATATATGTATATATATATATATATATATTGCAGACATATATATTTTTATAATACTATGTATACATGCATATATATATATATATATGTTTGTGCGTGTGTACAGATATGTTTTAATAATTATATATTATATTATACATTATATATATGTATTATATATATAATATATATTATATATAATATATTATATATATTATATATATATCTTCAAACATAAATACATGAACATGCATATACAGCCAAAATATAAATGCATGCAGCTAAATAAATAAATATAATATAAACATATATATTTAAATATAAATATTTAAATATAAAGATTTAAATATATATATATTTAAATATATATTTATTATTTATTAACATACTGCGTGAGGGGGTCGATGAACATAGCGTTAGAAATATGTAGAAGGCCGCAGATTTGCTGTTTTTGCTGCGTCTCTCCTTTTATATATCTCTGCAGCAAATAAAACATTAATAATTTATCTGCTTTGTTTGTTCGTTTGTTTAATTTTATTTTTATTTGTTTGTCTGCTTGTTCATGTGGTTATTTGCTTCCTCGTTTGCTGCTGCTGCTGCTGCATTTGCTGCTGCTGCATTTGCATTATTTGCATTTGCTGCTGCTGCTGCTGCATTTTCAATACTTGCTGCTGATGCTGCTGCTTCTGCATTATTTGCTGCTGCTGCTGCTGCATTATTTGCTGATGCTGCCGCTGCATTATTTGCTGCTGCTGCTGCTGCTGCTGCATTATTTGCTGCTGCTGCTGCTGCTGCTGCTGCTGCTGCATTATTTGCTGCTGCTGCTGTACCTCTTTGACTCCCTGCACTGCAATTCCGTTTCTCATTTTGTCCGTCTGTAAAATTTGGCCGCTGCGCCCCTTCCACTTCCCGCTTATTATCATCACCTGCAGCAGCAGCAGCAGCAGCAGCAGCATCAGCAGCAGCAGAAGCAGCATCAACGCCAGAAGCAGCAGCAGCAGCAGCAGAAGCAGCAAACACACGCAGTGTAGCAGCGTCAAAGCCAGAAGCAGCAGCAGCACAAGCACCAGAGTCAGCAAGAAGAGCAACAAACGCAGCAACAAAAGCGGCAGCAGCAGCAACAGCAACAGCAACAGCAGCAGCAGCAGCAGCAGCAGAGGTTCTTGCCTTGTCTCCTGGTTTGAGTTTCCATTGAAGGATCCAATTGCGCGGATGAACAAACTTTAAACCTCGCTGCTGCTGCAGCAAGTGATGCTGCTGCAGTAAGTGACGCTGCTGTTGCTGCTGCTGCAGCACGTTATGCTGCTGAACCTGCTGCTGCAGCAAGTGATGCTGCTGTTGTTGCTGCTGCTGCAAGTGATGTTGCTGTACATGCTTCTCCAGCCAGTGGTGCTGTTCAGCCCCTATTCTTCTTGCTGCTATCGGTGCTGCAGTCGGTGCTGCTGCTGCTATTGCTGCTGCCGCTGTTGTTGTTGTTGCCGCTGCTGCTGCACCGTGAATAGCTGCTGCAACACATCCGCAAGCCCTGGGGGGGCAGCCAGCAGCCCCCAAAGGAAAGAAGGACCCCAATACGAAGGCCATACTTGCTGCTGCTGCTGTTGCGGCTGCTGCTGCTGCTGCTGCTGCAGCAACAGCTGCAGCAGCCCTACTCGCGTCTGCGCAGATCCGCAGTCAGGGGCTCAGAAGCAGCAGCAGCAGCAGCGAGAGCATCAACACCTGCAGCAGCAGCAGCAGCAGCAGCGGCGGTCTTCTTACCACTACAGTATCTTCTGCTGTCTGCTGCAGCAGAGGGGAGAAGCAGCAAAAACAAGTTTATAATTTGTTGTGAAACACAAAAACAAATAAAATAATATTATTAAACAAACTATTAATACAGACAGTATGTTTGTTGCATGCGAGGCGGGGGCTCGTCTCTAGGCCTTCCTACAACAGAGGGGCCCCCGGGGGGGCCCCCGTCCCTCATAAACCCTAAACCCTAAACCCTAAACCCTAAACCCTAAACCCTAAACCCTAAACCCTAAACCCTAGGAGTCTAGATTTATAAAACTCTTTTGAAATAAAAGTTTAGTTTTATCGATTCTTTTCTCCTAAACGTAAATTGCTGCTAAGCTGCTGGGTTAGGTGAGTTGCACACACAAAGGGTTTAGGGTTTAGGGTTTAGGGTTTAGGGTTTAGGGTTTAGGGTTTAGGTTTGAGTTGTTGATATTTTTCTCATGGTTTTCGTCGTTGTTTGGCCTCATTGTTAGTGCTGTTAGTGGCAGATGCTTCTGCTGCTGCACCAGCCGCTGCAGCGGCTGTCTGTGCACCTCCTGCTTCCTGCTGCTGCTGCTGCTGCTGCTGCTGCTGCTGCTGCGCATAGACAATGGCTGACACTGAGGTGACCCTGGAGTATGTGGAGGAATTGGCTCGAAGTGTAGGCCCCCTAA